GGCCATGGCCATATTGGCAGCGCTTCACTCCGCGTGCTAGGTCTGACCCAAAAGAGGCCAAAGAGGCGGAGTGTGATGGGAGCTCTCTAAACAGCTAGCGGCTAGCCACCTATGGCAGGGCCTTCCCGCCTGGCACTCAAAGTGGCCACGCCCTTAAGACTAACTTTTAATCTCAATATAATTTAAAGGGAAGAATATATATAAAGATTCATCCCTTTTATAATTGTTATGAAAGGGGAAATTAGCTATAGAGACCAAAACCGTTTCTTGTACCAGGCTGTAAACATGTATATTTCTGCTGTAAAGTTGGGCATTGGGGACTGACTCCCTTACGGTGCCAGCCTCTAGTGGCCGTTTGAAGAACTGCAGGCTTTGGCACTTCCACGTTGGCTTCCTCCCTCAGCCTGAGGCTGCAGCTTGGTCCTGACAACCCTGAGAACAGTTTGTGAACACAGCCTGTATATTATCTGTGGTGTTTTAAACTAAATCAAAAGCTTGAGTTTTAATAAACAGCTGATTAGTTGGATCATAATCTGCTCTGTTGAGAATTCTGATGGCTCATTTTTGTATTAAAATAACAGACTGACTTTTGTTTTTCAGCTGCTTCCCCAGATCTCTACACAATATAACATGTATGGAAGTGAACAATACAACAGATGTAATGACTCAAAATGTCTAGTTTTATATAATATTGCAACCGATTTTGCCATTTTAGTTTTAACATGATTTATGTTTCCAACAGATCTGTTATAAGCTCCATAAATTTACTTTCTCCTTCAGTTTCTCTTATCATAATTTAAATTACCTTTACCAAACCAAACATTTTTTTTACTTCAATTGAATGACAATTTATTGGTATCCAACACAGAGTACAGAGAAGCCTCAGCCACCCACAAGTCTGCGCTCTCCTCTCCATCGATCCAGGTGTGCTCACGTGCACTTGACTTTTTCCTCTCGTCATATGTGACAGACCATTTAACAGCCATGTAGCGAGAGGGTCCTGTTTCCCCAGCAACCAAACAAACGGAGACGAGTGCTTCCTCTCGCTGCTGGCTACGCATGACGCTTTGGATAAACACTGGGCGAATACTGGAAACTTTCACTCTCACATTCTCACTCACATGCTCTCTCTCTGCTTTTTTCCAGGTTACTTTCAGAGGACAAAACCATCTTTGGGAAAAGGCAACCAGGGTGCAACAAGACATGCACGTGTATCAGTTAATGGAAGAAAATGCTACTGGGGACGCCCCCTCCTTTTCTGTGCTTTACGGTTCCAGGGAACATTTTTAGACTGTTTGCTGGCACTGAAGGGTTATGTCATTACAGAGTATTTAGATAAGTGAAAGGCCAGATGCAGCAGCTGTTTACATCTGTTACTGTTCAGATCCTGTTAATGGCCGAGCCTGATGTGTCTCAGCATGCTGAGTTATGGAAGTTAAATTAAGAAAGGCAAAACTGTGAGGCGCTGTAATAGCTCAGGCATGACCTCAAACCGCTGTTTGTGATCAGATTAAGTGCTTGAGGAAGGTGGGAGGTCCAAACTGACCAGCGCAGATGTCAGAGATGACAGCGTCATAAAAGTGTCTGGGACTCACAGGTCGTAGTGTTGATTCCACTTGGGGTCAAGTGTGTTCCTCACAGTGTCTGTAGAGTGGCACTGCCCTGAACCGTCCACAACCACCTTGGCAAAGGGATCAGGGAGGCCTGCAACGAGAGCGGGAAACACAGCGACACTACACTCATGAATAAGTAGCAGACAACAGTTCAACAGGACACATGGTAGCTGACAACTAAATACAACTGGCACTGATGCCACCTGGGACTGATCAAGCCTCGTCGCAGGTTGCTCACTGTTTTGTATTTAGGAAGGCACAGAATGATTTCTTCTCGGTACATGAACACCACAAGATCATTAATCAACGGGTTAATCAGTCACACACAAGTTAATCAATTCCAAGTTTGGTGAGTGACTATTTTAGTCATTTATCAGGAAAGATTTACATGTTTTGTACCATTTTTAAGTAAAAAGGAATTTCAGTCACAATTTGATGCTTCATTTGTCATATACGACAGTAACGTGAATATCTTTAGGTTCTGGTGAGACTAAACTAAACATTTAAAGAGGTGACCTTGGACTGTGGCAAATCACAAGTCAACGTTTTTAAAAATTTTACAGATTAATTAAAGAATTAACTGTCAGATTAATTGTTAATGAAAATAAAGTTAGTTGCAGCTCTAGGAGGTTGTGACACACAGTATGTGCATTGTGTAGAACGGCTTGGCTTCCTGTTTTAGACAGTTTCTGATCATTTTTAAAGGACAGTTATTTCAGAGATGTTACACACTAAATGAACTGATAATCCAGGTCTGTAACTGGTAGCTGGGACCTGTGTGTGACATTCAAATAATGTCAATGTGGCTGAAGCATGCACAGTAACAATCAGTTGTGCACAATGACAAACACCAAGAAGCACCATATGGAGTTAGTTTGCCAATAAAGACAGACATATGTAGTTGGTGGTTTCAGTGCTGCTCTGCACCAACCCCCAGAGTGGATGTTTGCTCAGTTCCTGGGCGTTGGAATGGCAGAAATGGGCGCCACAGAAACCGCCTGAGTGAGCAGATTAAATAATTAGGTCCTAGTTTATTGTCGACAGCCATCAGCTCAAAGCGGCCTGCAACACTCGGCTTCAAGAAGCCTTCACAGTACACGAATCGTTTAGCCACCGACCCTCTGTAATATAGTGATAACAGTAAGGTCTAGACCCTACTTTGTAAAGTGTCCTGAGATAACTTTTGTTGTGATTTGGTGCTATACAAATAAAATTGATTTGATTTAAACCAGAAAGAAAACAAAACAGGCTGTGAAAGGCAAATATAGATTCATTATAAACAGTGTGACTGGCAGATACTTACGGAAGAAGTCCTTCTTCACAAGGTTTTTGGCGCAGAGGACTAAAAAGAGAAAGAGTCCAGAGTTAATTTAACACAAACAGTAAATTCAAAAACAGTAAAGCAGCATTATAGGGTTAACAATCCTGCTGACAAGCAGAAGAGACATCTGAAAGTACTCATTTACTTTAAGGGTCTATTTGAGAACAATACGTAAGTGGCAGGAATGTACATGGGCAGGCAGCAGGAAATGATTTGTCTAGTTCCAGACTCAAGCAGGTAAACACTGCTGAGCACAACTTCAAGTAAACCGTCAACACAAACCGTCTCTTACCCACAATCAGTTGTGTTTTTACAGCACAGAAAGCCTCCGGGGTGTGTCACAATGTCAGGAGAAGCAGCTCCTCAGCTGCAGCTTTAAAGTTGAAGCTTTATAGCAATTAATAGCTATTGTGTTTTTACAATAGAAACAAATCCAAAACATGTCACTCTGTTTTCTACAGTGAAACACTGAGAGGAGTGGTTGTCTCTTTCTTTCTCTCTCAAAGCAGCCACCTGCAGCAGGAAGGCTGGTCCTGTCCATCTACTCTGAGAGCCATGCAGGACGCTGCCGAGACGAGTCCGAGACGTGTACACCCTCCTCCCGTGCACGTGTGCAAAGAGGAGGAAGCTCGGTGACCACCTGGGCATGTGGACTAATGAGCTACAGAGCATGACTCAGACATACAAGTAGTTTTGGCTCAGCTTCTGTCTGCGATAAGGTTTTCTAAGGAACAGACATTAATTGGTCTGGATGCTGTTGTGGCTGATTCACTGGCGAGACAACAGTCAGTGTAGCTGGAGCGTATGGTTTCATAAAAACATTACAGTCACCAGGAGGGAACAGAGCTGTCCAAACACTGAAGCCTCTGAGTCAGAGAGCGTGATGCAGCTTAGTCCTCTTCCATTGAAAAATGTCTTGTGCATGTTGTTACTACACTTGAATGTTTGACCTTCACTGTGCGGGAAGGCTGTTTTTACAGCCCGTGCTTACTCCACGTGCACAAGCACAGGAGTGTAAGGTGTGCAGACCCTGTACTGCCAGGCTTCCAACATGCAACTTACAAAGTGTGATGTGTTCACATCAAATCTCCAGGGCAACTGTGTAAGAATATGCATTGAATATTATTATGGGTTGTGGTTGGACAAAAGACAACACCTGAAGACATCACCTTGGGCTGCTGGAAATTATAACAAGTCAAAACTATTAATTGATAAATTGATAATGAAAGTAATCATTAGCTGCAGTCCTATATAATGCATTTACAGTATTACCTTCCCAGACTCCAGGTGAAGAGTGAAGGCATTTGTTGCACGGGACATATATTCAACCATTTGTCACATTTAGTAATCGCTCGTCTATTGATTTTCTTGAATAACTTTCAAGGTAATAATGATATCTGTGCGATTCCAAATGCCAGAGGGAGGTTTTCATGGCTAAGGAATCATGGTATGAGGGTCACACTGTCACGGGAATATTGGTTTTAGGTGTAGTGGCCTTACAGGGAACCTGAGCTGCCCTGCTGTCTAGTTTGGGAATAGATCAATGCACCATTGTTCCGCTGTTTAAGAAGCCAATAATTTACCACAAAGTGAACACATCCACGATACTGCCCATGACATACAGTCCTAGTTTTGTTCATACAATAGCTGACTGATCTAAAGATGACAGCTGCAGGTTGTAGCACCAAAACAATCTGTCTATTAATCGACTGACAGAAAAATAACTGGCAACTCATTTAATAATCCATTAATAGGTCATTTCTCAAGCAATAAAGCCAAACTTTCTCATCAGCTTGAGCTTCTCAAATGTGGCAATTTGCTGCTGTTCTTGTCTGGTATGAGCGCCGACCCAATCTCTTTGGGTTCAGGGCTGTTTGAACCAAACAAGAGATGTCACCTTGGACTATTTTTAATTAATCAAGTAATGAACTAAATAAGAGGCAGTTTAATTAATCTGAATTGTTAGTGGGTTGGATGTGCCTTTCCTCTGGCCTGACTTACTCCTTCAAATGCAGGTGAGAGTGCTCAGACTTTGCTAACACAAATAGACAAAGACACACCCATAGTGGGAGACTTATGCCATTTGTTTCATGCCACAAATACTGAAACAAAGATCATGTCACACATCAATCTGAAAAAGTGAGGAGCCGTGCCAACAAATTTAAATACACACATCACCAGGTTCACACACAAACATCTACATACACACAGTGTTTGCAGATGCACACGACACACACACACAGGATTTATGCCCTCCTGGGGGCAGGGGAGGGCAGAACATGCTCGACAGATGAGGAAGAATTTCTTCCCGCAAATATCCCTGGGAATGTGTTGCGTTCCAGTGAAACCCACCTCATTTCCAAAACATCTGGTACACATCGCTGTCGGGAGCTTTTTCCTGAACACACAGGCAAGCATGTGCTCACACACAAGGGCCTCCGAAATATCTCATTCTCCACTCCAAATCCAGTGAGCTAATTAATTATTAACAGTCACAGTCGCATAAATGTGTGTGTGCCAGGTGGATGCTCGGAGGCTTTGAGGGAAGTGGAAAAGATGGAGTAAGGTAACAGGTGACAGTTCTCTTTCCACATTGCTGCTGCCTACATGTAAATAACGTGAAAACGAGCCTGACAGTGACAGGATGGCTTATCCAGAAATAAAATACCAAACACTGCTCCCTGTGTCTAGATGCCACAGTGTAATTAATCCACATGGGGTAAAGAGAATGAACAGTGAGCAACTGAGAAATTCTACTCTCAAGCAAATTCAGGCAGTGGCAACAAAACCTGCAGGTTAAGTCATGGTTCAGCATCAGCCAGCTCAGCTTAAACATCATATACTGTAGGCTCCTTATAAAAACGTGCAGGGGACTGAATTATGGCTGAAAAAAAAAATGGAGCGAAAACCGCTGGAATGGTCGATGTAGGGATGCAATGGTGACAGGGAAGCTGAGACTGCAGAGAAAGGCATGTCAATGAAATCCAACCATCACAATACAGTTCTTATTATACACCAACCAAACAGTCATTACGAAATGTGATGATGGTGGACATAAACTTAACTTACACCTACTCTACCTACTGTCTTTTCAGCCCAGAGGGTCTAGTGAGACTCAGAACAAACTGACCACATAAACCAGTCTTTGTCCCTCCCATCATGTCCTGTTTCCTTAAGGTGCAACATAAACTACAGATGCCTGGTTGGGACAAACTGTACAAACTGCAGCCTCTGAAGCTAGCGTTAGCTGGCTAACTGTAAACACATCAGTCCAGTAGAAGCTCTGGCTACTGCTGATGTGACACAAAGCACTGATGTTACACAAAGCTCCAATTAGTCTCAAATTAAAACCATATTAATTCAATACAAAGGTAAAATCCTGACCATGCTAGGTGGCTAATGCTACCAAAACAAACAGGTTAGCTTTAGATGCTAACACATCCAGAAGGAAGAAGGCCACATCTGGATCCAGTCTGAGTCCTCTGGCTGCTTTTAACCCTCTCCATGTCAAACAGCCAAACCCATGTTAACCCTGGTTGTTGCTCTTTCTTTGTCCCACTCTCTCTGTGCTAAAGACGCCACCTCTTCACTCTGACAGCTGCTGGTTCAG